AACCCAGGGGCTCTCTTTCTAGCAAGTGCCTCAGAGGGTATGGGGGCCAGACTCCCTCTAGTCTGCCTGTGGCTTCTCTTGGGGACAGAATCAAGTCAGCAGGATTAACTAAGTGACTACTGGTGTCCCAGAGCTCAGGTGAAGTGCTGGACTGCCTAGATCTGAGCAGGTGTGTGTGTGTTTCTCTGAGAACCTGGACTGCGTTCCCTGCTCCTGAATGATGGTCGGTGCCACCTGCTTAAACTTGCCTTTTACTCTTTGAGGCAGGAAGGTGAGAGAATCAAAGCTGGACTCAACTTCGCTCAGATCCCCTACCTCCCTGCCCTCATTCCTCCTGAAATGAGCTGAAGCCGATGTCAAAGGGTGGTCACTGCCTGGTCCTTCACTCTGTATTTCAAACCTTAAGCTCACAGCCACTCCACGTCTCTACCAGTGCCAGGGGCTTGTTCTGGTTAGGCCTCTTAGCCTATACTTCTGTAGACTTCTTAGCTTCCTAGCCATTATTTTAGTCTAAAATGCACACAAAAAGCTGGGCAACAGTGCGCTTGCCTTTAAACCCAGCACTCAGAAGGCTGAGGCAGGTGGATCTGTGAGGCCAGCCTGGGCTACAGAGCTGGTTCTAGGACAGCCAGGGATACATGAAGAAACCCTGTTTCAAAAAACAAGCACACAAAAAAGGGCTGGAGAGATGGCTTGGTGGTTAAGAGCACTGGCTGCTCTTCCAGAGGACCCGGGTTCGATTCCCAGCACCCACATGGAGGCTCGCAACTGTCCGTAGCTTCAATTTCAGGGGATCTGACAGCTTCACAAACATGTAGGCAAAACACCAATGCGCATAGAATAAAAATAAGAAAAAAAAAAAGGAAGAAAGGGAAAAAAAAGGAAAGAAAGAAAACTAAGTTCCATTGGACTCCAGACTCCTAATTCTCTGCTATATCTCCAGTACTTATAATAGTATCTGTATGTAGTAGTTGCTCAGTTAAATGTGCCTAACACACAATCTGTCAAGCGGAATAATTTAAAAGGGAAAAGGTAGGTAAAAGTAGCTCACAAATTCAAGACTAGCCTAGGAACATAGTAAGACTCTATCTCAAAAGAACAAACAACAAACAAAACTTCTTTTAGTTAAGTATAAAGTTGTATTTTATTTTATATTTTTTTAGACAGGGTTTCTCCGTGTAGTTTTGGTGCCTGTCCTGGATCTTGCTCTGTAGACCAGGCTGGCCTCGAACTCACAGACATCCGCCTGGCTCTGCCTCCTGAGTGCTGGGATTAAAGGCGTGCGCCACCACCGCCCAGCTAAAGTTGTAAGTCTCATGTAGCTTTCATTTGACTAATAAACTTTTCCACAATCCCACTAAGTCTTTCAGGCTCCATCAATTTATTTACCAGTTCTTGCTCAACAGCCATCAGAGCCAGGCCTGTAAGTTTCTCTTGTCCCAGTGTGCGAAGTAAGTACGTTTTAAGATGAGGCAGTGTGGAAAAAGACTTTTCGTTGTTGGTTGAAGTAATTGGCCAAGATAAAGCAACATGCAACAATTTCGAGATACCTGGAATATTACTGTGGAGACCATGCTGACTAAATAAACAGCCAAGGTCAACGAAGTTTAAGGAACCATAATCTGTGAAGAAGTTGAGATTTGCATACTGCTGGTAAAATCTAAGTTCAGGGATAATGTCTGCATCGAGCTTATAGAATTCTTCAATCTGTTTCGCTGCTGCTTCATTTAATGGTTCATTCCATTTAAATAACAGCTCCGAAATTTGTTTCATTTTACAGTAGTCAAATTCTGAAAAACATAACTTTAAATTTTTTAATACAGTATCCAAACCTTGGTAATAAATCTTAACTTTATATTGTTCATTTGCTGAAGTAGGAAAAAACATGCACTCTGAGTTGCCAGGATCTACTGTTTTCTGAATTCTTCTTCTTTTTTGAAAAGAGGGTTTTTCAACTTTAAAACCCTTACGGGTTATTTCTTTACATATTTCATTTGCTCCATCCCAGATAGACTTGAAATACTTGTCATTCCTTTCAGAAGAGAAACATTTCAAAATTGCTTCTATTTTTGAAAACAAAGAAAAGATGTCTACAGTTTCACTTTGAAACTCTCTAGAAAGAATTCCTGTAATACTGAGTACTCGATAAAGAAATCTCAGACAAAATATAAATTCAAACTTGGTAACCACCGCCAGCAAATCACTGAGTTCGTCAGCCACGGCTGTGCCTGAGTAACGGCGAGTCATCGAGTGCAGCGTCTCCACGACCTCTGGGAGACACTCCATCACAGACAGTAACAAGTGCTCGTGGGCTGTCCAGCACGACTGTGACGTGTGTTTTTTACAAGTTTTATTCTGACTTAGCTTACATCTGGTTTGCAAAATTGCCAACATTTCTCCCGACGCACGAATAGTGTTGAGCAAAGAACTGAGAGTATTTAGTGTACTTCGGAGTTCTTTTACTTCTTTACAAAAACGAATGACCGCTAATTCAAAAAAATGTGCATGACAATGTACATACAAAGCTCTTGGCTCTTCCTTCTTGAATTCTGTTACAACTTCATTAAACTTGACCCTCAAATCCGTGGCACTATCATAGGCTTGACCACATAGCTTATTAAAATCAATTCCGAGCTGCTGCAAGTAAGCTCTGATGTGTCTGTGGACATGGGCTGCAGTCATCTCCTCAGCAGTAACAAACCCCAGGAACCTCTCTTTAACGAGGACTGCACTTGAGGATTTTTGTGGGTACCTCACACACACTGCAAGCTGTCCTTTAGTGGCACAATCAGTTGTCTCCTCACATATTATTGAAAAAGCTGAGGAGATATTGATCTCACTCACAATGTCTTCCAAAATTTCAGCCTTTATTACTTCAATAATCTCCTCCTGGACTTGTGTACTACAATAGAAGTCAACATGTGAACTCATAAGCTGAAACATTTCTCCTCCTTTATCTCTTGCTCTAATTTCTAGTAATTCCAAAAAATTGCCTTTATTAATGGATGAAATAGACTGGTCATTTCCTTTTAGGAGCAAACACTGTTTTCCAAGAAATAAGATGTTTTCAATGATGAGTTTTAGGTACTTCCTATTTCCCTCAACATGTTCTGAATAAACAGACGAAGCACCATGTGGAACTTCATCCAGAAACTGGTACTGTCTCCAGAACTGCAGAGACTTTAAATGTACTTCACTTTCTTCATGCTTCTTGAATTTTTCTAGCATTTTCTCCCAGTCAGCAGTTCCTTGGGCTGCAAATGATTCTCTCCAGCAGCTAAAATTTTTCTGGTAGAAAAAGTGGCAAGAATAGCAGAACGCAACGTCGTTCTTAGGACTGGTGTTCAAATGCGGAAAAGCTGAGCGCCAAGGTTTTCTACTGTTTTGTGGTTCTTTCTTGACTCTTTGCACTGTGGATGAAGATTTTGTATGACGTGGTCCATCATTTACTTTCACAGATTCCATGCTGTGGGGCTGGTGTGACACACTGCTGTTCTGTGCTTCCACACTGGGACCAGCTGTGTCCTCCAAGGGCACCAACGGCAACGGGAGAAGGCTTGGCTGTCCCACGTGGTCCCCAATACCACTACTGGGTTCGCTGGGTGAGTTCTTAAGATGATATGACAAAGTAACACTGGTTTAGTAGTTTTCAAATAATAAAAATACCGAACACATCAACTGTAGTAATACAGGAAAACGAATACGTTGTAGCATAAGCTTCTCTAAGGGAGACATTAACAACCATTAACTATTATTCACCATGTAGATTCAGCATTAAATGTTTAAAGGAGCTCTAGGTATATAACTACAGAATTTTTTTTTTTTTTTTTGGTTTTTCAAGACAGGGTTTCTCTGTGCAGCAGCCCTGGCTGTCCTGAAGCTCACACTGTAGGCCAGGCTGACCTCAAACTCACAGAGATCTGCCTGCCTCTGCCTCCCAAGTGCTGGGATTAAAGGTGTGTTCAAAATTATTTTTTATTTTTTATTTATTACTCAGATGATTAGAAGTATTTACTCAAAAGGAAGCTAGGCATGGTGGCACTAACCTTTAATGCCAGCACTCTACAGGCAGAGACATGCAGATCTCTGTGAGTTTAAGGCCAGCCAGAGTTACACAGTGAGATCTTGTCTTAAAATTAAAAAAAAAAAAAAAAGAAAGAAAGAAAAGAAAGCCAGGCAGTGGTGGCACACGCCTTTAATCCCAGCACTCGGTAGGCAGAGCCAGGCAGATTGTTGTGAGTTCAAGGCCAGCCTGGTCTACAGAGTGAGATCCAGGACAGGCACCAAAACTACACAGAGAAACCCTGTGTGGAAAAACAAACAAACAAACAAAAAAAAAAAGAAAGAAAGAAAAAGAAAAAAGAAAAACCCAGAGGAAAACGTAACAAAACTTTAAAATTAGTTTTTATTTTAGCCTGTTACTTGCAGAGGCAAAATGCTTCTTGGAGACCCTGGAACTGGAGTTACAGATGGTTATGGGCTGCCATATGGGTGGCTAGGAACTGAACCAGGTCTTCTAAAGGAAACAGGCAGTGCTCTTAACTGCTAAGCCAGCTACAATACTTTGTAGCATATGTATGTGTATAAAAACATATCAATAGCTGGTCACGGTGGCGCACGCCTTCAACCCCAGGATTTGGGAGGCAGAGCAGGTGGTTCTCTGTGAGTTTGGGGTGAGCCTAGTTTATAAAGTGAGTTTCAGGACAATTAGGGCTGTTACATAGAGAAACCCCGTCTCAAAACAAAACAAAACAAAACATATCACTAAGTAAATTTAAAAATAATCTTATAAAAGAGCTGGGTGGTGGTGGCATAGGCCTTTAATCCCAGCACTTGGGAGGCAGAGGAAGGTGGATCTCTGAGTTCAAGGCCGGCCAAAAACCCTGTCTCAATAAACAAACAACTATCTACGTATGAAAACACACACACACACACACACACACACACACACACACACACACACACACACACACCTTTTTAAAATTGAACAAAATCAGGATAATACTTACATCTACAATGACATCTGTAGGTACAGAAGAACGGGAACCTATTGAAATAAAGCATGTATTCAAGATTTGATACTTCAACAGGACCAAAAGCTCATGCAGCTTATTTCATATCAGGAAACAGACAGACAGATTCAACAATATGACAAAACATTGTTTATGTCTAATGTCTGTTTACCTTGTAAGAGATCAGTGTTCATGAGCAGGTCAACATGATCATTTACTAATGACATTATATTGCTTATAACTGGAATTGGATATTCCCTTGGAGAAAGATTCTCTTTTGAAGCACTGTGTAGTGTGGAAACATTTACTGACAAAAATAAACAAAAATCCTTGTTATAATCCAGGCAGAAACCAAAGCACTGTTTAATAGTGTTTTTGTGCTGAGGGTTATAAATCAGTGGGAGAATGCTTGCCCACCAGGCAGTTCCAGGGCACCATGATCCCTTATGCAGTAGCGGGCATGGAATACAGCAAGTACTCTGACAATTGAGCTCCATTACCAGGCTGTTTAGATCTTTTGTTTTGTTTGTTTTTGTTTTATGTTTTTTGGAGACAGGGTCTCTCTGTGTAGCCCTGGCTATCCTGGAACTTGTTCTGTATACCAGGCTGGCCTTGAACTCAGAAATCCTTTTGCCTCTGCCTCCTGAGCGCTGAGATTAATGGTGTGTGCCATCACTGCCCGACGTACTTTTTTTTCTTTTTTCAATAAATATTATTTTATTTGTTAGGTGAATGTTGCTACATGGGTGCTGGGATCTCAACTTGGGTCTTCGTGATTGAGCAGCAACCATTCCTAACTGCTAAGCCACCTCTCCAGCACTCATTTGGAATTTTAAGTCACTCTAATATGGAAATTAATCAGTTATAAATGAAAAGCAAAGCGTGTCTCTGTCTCCCAGTACTTAGTACAATTTTGGTGTTGCTGGGTATTACCTGTCGAAGATTCCATCACAGCACTGTTGTATGAAGAAAAACAAAGAGAGCAGAAAACCTCTATGTTCCCCAAGTCATTAGTAATCACAATCATCTCATCTGAGAGTTTCAGTGTTTGGCAGGGAAAAGATCTAAGCAGTCTGGGTGGTTTCTGTTTAGAGATTAAAAATAATATTCATATTTCTGGTATAACATATGCAATGCTAAAAACACTAAGCATACCTACTGTAACTGCTTTTAGCTGAAATAGTACAAACAATAATAATTTTTTTTATACATCCTTAGAAATGAGAAGAGAGTGGAGGCTGCAATAACAAAATGAAGCAATCTGATACAGTTTATCAGAAGACTATCCTATCATTTAACAGCAATAGTAACAGTAATAACGCATATGCAATGAAAAGGGCAGTCACAAAAGAGGTCTATTATCCCAGGCAGCTAAAGCCAACTGAATAAAAACACATGTTTAATTATAGTTTCTCTTCCTTAGTACATCATCCTTGAACATGCTCAGGAAAGCCTTCAACCAGGGTTAGGGTACTTAATATCTACTATGAGATACTGAGGCAGTAACTGTCTCCAGGCCAGTGGTTCCCAATCTTCCTAATGCTGAGACCCTTTAATATGGTTCCTCATGTTATGGAGACCCCCAACCATGAAATTATTTCGTTGTTACTTCGTAACTGTAATTTTGCTACTGTTTTGAATCATAATGTAAATTTCTGATATGTAGAGTATCTGATATGTGACCCTTAAAGGATCATGACCACAGGCTGAGAACCACTGTTCTAGGTCAACTCCATGGTAAAGAATCACAAACATATGCCAGCCTTAACTGTAGCACTCGGGAGGCAGAGGCAGGCAGATCTCTGAGTTCGAGGCCAGCTTGGTCTACAGAGCGAGTTCCAGGACAGTCAGGACTGTTACACAGAAAAACCTTGTTTTGAAAACACCAAAATAACAAACAAACAAATAAGTAAATAAGTAAAAGAAAAAAAAAAAAGAATCCTAAGCATAGCAAGGCATGAAGGCATACACTTTTTTTGTTTGTTTGTTTTTCAAGACAGGGTTTCTCTGTGTAACAGCCCTGGCTGTCCTGGATCTCGCTTTGTAGATCAGGCTGGCCTCAAACTCAGAGAGATCCGCCTGGCTCTGCCTCCCGAGTGCTGAGATTAAAGGCGTGCGCCACCATGCCGGGCTAAAAGCATACACTTTTAATCTTAGCATGGGAGGCAGAGGCAGTGGATCTCTGTGAGTTCGAGGCCAGCCTGGTCTACAGAGCTAGTCCAAGCTACAGAGAAACTCTGTCTCGAAAAACCAAAAAAAAAAAAAAAAAAAAAAAACCCCCCAAAACAAAACAAAACAAAAAAAACCACGTCAAATGCTTCTGAAAAGGACCCCTTCTGGGGGTTGAACACAGGGTCTTATTCATGCTAAGCAAAAACTCTACCACTGAGCTACACTTGCAGCTCTCAGAGACGCATTCATTCTTAAGGCAGCACTCAGCAGACCGAGAGACTGAGGGCACCAGCTTCACTGACAAAGCCATCCAGACAGGAAGAGATGGGCACACTTAACTGTGCTCTCCAAAGGAGACTTTGGAGAGCTCCATGTCTTGATAGTTTGATTTACTCAGTATGAGTTTTATTTATTTATTCATTTATTTTGAGACAGGGTTTCTCTGTGTAGTCCGACTGTTCTGGAACTCACTCTGTAGACCAGGCTGGCCTCAAACTCACACCTGCCTGCCTCCCATATGCCGCCACCACCTGGCGCGTTTTATGTTCTTGTTTTGTTTTGTTTTTCGAGACAGGGTTTCTCTGTGTAGCTTGGCGCCTTTCCTGGAACTCACTTCGTAGACCAGGCTGGCCTCGAACTCACAGAAATCCACCTGCCTCTGTCTCCCAAGTGCTGGGATTAAAGGCGTGCGCCACCACCGCCAGGTGCGTTTTATATTCTTAATTGTATTGGGAGTTAGGCTAAGCACTTGACTGAAATGTAACTTGAGTGTTTTTTTTTTTTTTTCTTAGCAGTCTTATTCCATATTGAAATAATTCCCTTCTAAAAATAACAGGGACCACACTTCCATGGGTCACTTAACCACCCATGAACTGTTTCCCTATTATGATTAGAATGAGACTGTCCCAGCCATTCCCCAGAAGGGGAAGTCCTTCTGCAGGTGAGGAATACACCTGTCATCGTTTTTCATCTGTACCGCCCACATGGGTTTAATTCCCTCTGCTTTTTCAAGACAGTATCTCTCTGTATATTCCTGGCTATCCTAGAACTCGCTCTGTAGTCCAGGCTGGCCTTGAACTCAGAGATCCACCTACCTCTCTGCCTTCCAAGTGCTGGTATTAAAGACATGCGCCACCACCACCTGCCTTTTTTTTTTTTTAAAGACAGGGTTTCACTATGTCTGACCTGGAACTTGATAAGCTTGAAAAGATCCACCTGCCTCTGTCCCTCAAATACTGGGATTATGTATTACTAGATCACAAAGCATCACATAACAATCAAGATACGTATTAGTCCCACTTCACAGACAGGAATCAGACTAGTAACTGTGTTCCTCTCGGCCCATCACACCATGGCTAGCCTCTCTGTTCTCAGAAGCACCCGAAGGTTCTCCTACAGGAACTGACAACCGTCTTTTTCATTTTCATCAACTACCAATCAACTATTTCCCCAATGATACCAAACACACAGACTAACTGAGAGAGGGACTAGCAGCTCTTCCTGCTCACTGCTTCTCTGCATTAGAATTCTTCGCACTATTCACGTATGGAGACAGATTAGAGATCATGTAACAGTACGCTCCACAGTTCTTACATCAATTCACAATGAAACTGGTAGCGCAATGAAAATCTGAAGAGCAGGCATTACTGCGAAGACTAAAACAACAGTAACAAATGACATTTAAGCAGAAACCCTAGAATTCTTCCAAACGTTAAGAGTAAGTAACTGAAACTTACGGTAGATGTCTTCTGACACACGCTGCACTTACTAAAAGTGCTGTCAGTACACATGGTAATAAATGACTTTCTTTTTTCTTCATATGATGAAAGGCAAGACTGGCTACAAAAGTCTTCGTTACAGTTACTGTCCTCCAACTGGACATTCTTCATATCCTTCAGATCTAAAATGTCTCTAAAAACAAACAACAAATGCCTGTTAATAGGATGATAAATGTATGAAGTAACTTATGAGTTTCTGTGTGTGCACATGAGGGGCCCAGAGCAGGATATTGGGTGTCTTCCCTCTTGCTCTCTAGATTGCCCTGACCCAGGCTCTCCCTGAACTGGGAGCTAGAGTCACTGTGTGGGCTACGCTGGTTGGGCAGTGAGCTCTTGGGATCCTTCCGTCATGCATGTACTGTAAAACAAAATAAGCCAATTTAGTTTCAGAAATTAAGGATGTTAATAAAACAACATTTTCAAGTTATTTTAATTGGAACCTTGTAATCCCCATCACTCATATGGCAGCTTACAACTGTCTGTAATTCCTGTTTCAGAAGATCCAGTGCCCTCTTCTGGATTCCAGGGGCAATGCGTACAATTGGTACACAGACAAAACATCCACACACACAAAAAATAAACTTGGAAAACACTGTGACTGTCCTAGTTTGCTTCTACGGCTGTGATAGAGACCACCACCAAAAGCAACTGGCAGAGGAAAGGATTTAACTCAGTTTACAACTCTCAGGTCATAACCCATCACTGAAGGAAGTCAGGGCCCACAGAGGGACGCAGCTTACTGCCTTGCTGTCCATAGTCTGCTCATTCGCCTTTCTTAGACAACACAGGACTACCTGCCCAAGGGTGCTGCCACCCACAGCAGGATGAGCCCTCCCACATCAATCACTGAGCAAGAAAATGCCCTTGTCTACAGGCCAATCTGATGGAGGCATTTTCTCAACTGAAGTTCCTTCTTCCCCGTGACCCTAGCTGTGTCAAGCTGACAGAAAACTAACCAGCGCAGTGACAAAATGGGACATAAAGTGCTGTCTATCAGTGGTCGATTACTGTCTCAAGACAAGGTCTATATAGGAAATCTGAGTTACAACCTTAGCCGTCTTTCTCATGAATCCCATTTTCGTTTGAATCAATGTTAAACTGTTGTCCAGAAGTGGACATCAGGCAGCTGTTTCCTTAAAAGTGAAGAAAGCCTGCCATTCCAAGGAAAATAACTCACAGTATTTACCATCAAGCTTTGAAGTAAAAATTAGAAATTTTAGAAAACCTGTACCTGCCACCTCGAGCTTGATCAATTCTTAATACTTGAAGGCTTTTCTGAAGAAATTAGTGGTGATTTTTAAAGCACTTTCTGGTTTTAATTCTGTCTGGATTTTCTATTTTTCGTAGTAGATAAGTGTATAAAAATATATCTGACAGTAAAACTATAAAACCCAGTGGGAAGTTCCACAGCTTCCATTTTTTCAACTGTTACTCTAACTGTATACAAGTTCACTGAGTTGTACAGTCTTTGGGTTTGGTTAATTTTGGTGTGTGAATTTTTTTAAATATAATAAAGTTTAAAATTCAAAAAGAAAAGAAAAAAGATAACTATGTTAGAAAGACCCTTATAATTAACTAAAAATAACTTGAGTACAGGTGTGAACTGGCTGGTATAAATAAATTAAACATTAGTGAATAAACCTATTTTGGATTAGATTGACTATGTTTAGAATTTCTTTTTGTTTCTAATACTGAAGTGCGGAAATTATTATTATTTTTTTTCTCCTGAGACAGTGTTCTCTGTGAAACAGTCCTGGCTGTCCTGGAACTCACTCTTAGACCAGGCTGGCCTCGAACTCAGAGATCTACCTGCCTCTGCCTCCTGAGTGCTGGAATTAAAGGTGTGTACCACCACCACCCAGCTGGAAATGATGGTTAAGACATATCTTAGTAGTTTTCAATAACAAGTCTCCTCTTTGTGATAGTATTTTAAATGTCATCTTCAAAGTTATCCTTCACTTTGCTTTATTAAGTAGAAAAATTAAGTATTACTTAAATGATTAATAAATCATTGCTAAAAAAAGAAGCTTTAAAAGTGACCTAAAGTTTTGGGACTACAGCTGGCAGGGGTGGTGCTCGCCCCTAATTCCAGCACTCAGGAGGCAGAGGCAGAGGCAGAGGCAGAGGCAGAGGCAGAGGATCTTTTTCTGTACCAGGACAGTCTGGTCTACAGAGTGACTTCCAGGACAGCCAGGAAACCCTGTCTCAAAGGAAGAAGAAAAAAAAAAAAAAAAAAAAAAAGTGAAATTTAAAAAATCTCAAGGGAGCTAGAGAGAAGGCTCAGTGAACACTGGTTGTTCTTCCAGAGTACCTGAGCTCATCCCAGCACTCACATGTTGGTTCACAACTATTCATAACTACAGCTCCAGGGAATCTAATGTCTTATTCTGATTTCCCCAGGCATCAGGCAGGCATGTGTTGCACATACATACATGCAGGCAGAACACTCAAACATACAAAATTAAATAAATCTAAAAAGTCTCAATAAAAACATAGGTTATTACTATAAATAATGATGGCCTCTTCCAGTCTAAGCATAATTATCATCTTTCAACCGATCTACAATTTGTAATAAATAACAACACACACACACACACACACACACACACACACACACACACACACACACACACTCACTCCAGGGGAAGCCAAAGTTGTCTCCTGTTTTTGCTCATAGCTTGTTGTTACACCTTAAAAGAACAACTTACAGCCGGGTGGTGGTACATGTGCCTTTAATCCCAGCACTGGGGAGGCAGAGCCAGGCGGATCTCTGTGAGTTCGAGGCCAGCCTGGTCCACAAAATTCCAGGATAGCCAGGGCTACCACAGAGAAACTCTGTCATAAAAAGCCAAAATAAGCCGGGCGGTGGTGGTACATGTGCCTTTAATCCCAGCACTGGGGAGGCAGAGCCAGGTGGATCTCTGTGAGTTCGAGGCCAGCCTGGGCTACCACGTGAGTTCCAGGAGAGGCGCAAAGCTACACAGAGAAACCCTGTCTCAAAAAACCAAAAAAAAAAAAAAAAAAGCCAAAATAAACAAACAAATAAATAAAATAAACAAGCCTTAAAAAAAAAAAAGAGGGAAAAGAAAAAGCAAGACAAAGTTAAGCAGAGTTGCAGGAGACAGGACCTGAACAAAAGAGAACACTGGAGCGATCCTATACAGAGGGTCTGTGTGTGCTGATGTCAGTGCAGGCAGCCCAGTGTGGCTGCAGCACATACCTGTAGTCCCAGCACTTGGAAAGCAGGGGCAGGAGAATCTTTGTGAGTTCAAGTCCAGTCTGCTCTACACAGTGAGCCCAGGCTAGCCAAAGGCTACCTAGTAAGACCCTGTCTTAAACAACAAAAACTCTAAGGGACTTGGCAGCAAACATGAGAAAATAATCTTGAGAGTGGAGTCTCTGACTCAAAAAAAAAAAAAAAAAAACCCGTAGATAACATAGTACATCCACATTCTGAGCACTGAAAACAATCACATGCTAACAAGGAAGTTCTCCATGCTTCTCCACCCTTCCATGTAATTTCTGTTAACTTCTCAACAACCACCCAAACTACTTCTGAGTGCTCTATTAAAGGAACTGGAAACAGGAGCAAACTCTTCTCACTAACTAAGGTGACACATCTTCAGAGAAGATGAAAATATATAAAATTATGACCAAGACTCTAAAAAGCCCCATGAAGCAAAATAAGAGACATAATTCAGAATTCATACCTTGAGCAGTTGAAGCACATCCTCTTGACAGGAGCTGGGGAGATGGCAGATGACGTGTATTTCCTGATGCACAGTGTGGAGCAGAAAAGCTCAGCAGAACCTTTCTTCTGATAAGCAGTCTGTCCCTCCTGAAGAACTCTTTTACAGCCATGACAGGAAAGCTGGACAGCTGTGGCTGGGACTGCAGGAAGCATTTTGTTCATGCCAGATGACATGAGTGAGAGCTGAGAGCCAGTAGTCACCTGTAGAGCTTTAGAAACAAGGTAGGAAGAAAATACTGTTTTCATTTACATCCGTATGCACCCGCTTACTTGAGAGGTTACTTCTGGACATGAAACCCAACCCACAATAGCATGACATTCAAATGCAATTTAGAAAGTAGACAGACTAGCTGGGGCAGTGGTGGTGCACACCGTTAATCCCAGCACTCAAGAGGTAGAGGCAGGAGGATCTCTGTGAACGAAAGGCCAGCCTGGTCTACAGAGCAAGTTCCAGGACAGCCAGGGCTATGAAGAGAAACAAAAAAACAAAATAAAAAAAAACCCCAAAAACAAAACAAAACAAACAAACAAACAAACAAACTCCAAAAAATAAGGTAGATAGACTAAATCAGCTATTTTATTGATCAAGAAAAGTTATTATTAATTCTACTACCACTGTCTGAAAATGTAGAGTTTCTTTTCTCCTAAATTTTGGGTTGTTGGGTTTGACAATACTCTGAGAATAGAGAATTGAAAATATGCATAGAATGTCTTCAAGGCAGCTGGCCAATTCAACAGAAAACGACAAATTGAGCCAAAGTCTGCTCAGAGATTTGTATAAGGGGACTGAACTCCAAGTTACTGTTGTTATGTGTTTGTTTTCTCTGTGTAACAGCCCTGGCTGTTCTGGAACTCACTCTGCAGACCAGGCTGGCCTCGATCCCATTGCCTCTGCTTCCCAGGTGCTGGGATTAAAGACTCGTGCCACCATAGCCTTAAATAACTATTTGTTTATTTTATTTTATGTACACTGGTGTTTTGCCTGCATGTATGTCTATGTGAAGGTGTCAGATTCCCTGCAACTGGAGTTACAGACAGCCATGTGGGCGCTGGGACTTGAACCCAGGTCCCCTGGAATGGCAGTCAGTGCTCTTAACCACTGAGCCATCGCCGTAGCCCCATGTTTGTTTGTTTTGAGACAGGGCCTCACTATGTACCAGGTTGTTCTGGAATTCAGAGATCTCTGAAAACTGGGACAAAAGGCATGCACTAGCATGTCTGGCTTTTTCTTTTTTGAGTGTTTTTTAAAAAGGCAATTTTGTGGAGCAACAAAGGTGTCTTTAGACAACTTGCCATTAAGGTTTTCTCACAGAACCAATGCTGGTTTCTTTCCTTCCACTCATTATTCCCCAATTAAAAAAAAATTATTTTAGGGGCTGGAGAGATGGCTCAGAGGTTAAGAGCACTGACTGCCCTTCCAGAGGTCCTGAGTTCAATTCCCAGCAACCACATGGTGGCTCGCAACCATCTGTAATGAGATCCGGTGCCCTCTTCTGGCCTGCAGGCAAACATGCTGTATACATAATAAATAAATAAATCTTTAAAAAAAAAAAAAATTATTTTAGCTAGACAGTGGTGGTAGAACACACCTTTATTACCAGCAATTGGGAGGCAGAGGCAGGTGGATCTCTGTGAGTCCTAGTCTACAAAGTGAGATCCTGTCTCAAAAAAGAATAAAAGAACAAAAGAAAGTAAGTTGGTATTTTAGAACTTCTTTCTAGGTTTGGTGGCTCACAGGTGTAATCTCAGTATGTGGGAGGCAGAGGTGAAGCATCACTGTGAATTCAAGGTCTATGTTGGCTGCGTTGAGTCCCAGGTTAGTCTGAGCTACTTAGGGAGACCTTTAAAACAAAACAAAACCCCCAAAACAACAAAAACCAACACAACCAAACAAAATTTCTCTTACCATTTCATTTTTTTTTCCCCCTCCTCTTTTTTGAGACAGGGTTTCTCTGTGTAGTCCTGGCTGTCCTGGAACTTACTCTGTAGCTCAGGCTAGCCTCAAACTCAGAGATCCGACTGCCTCGGCCTCCCAAGTGCTGGGACTAAGGGTGTGTGCCACCACTTTGAAGCTACCATTTCATTTTTGTACTACAGATTTTAGTCGATACATAAAACAAGAAAAAAGCCGGGCGGTGGTGGCGCACGCCTTTAATCCCAGCACTCAGGAGGCCAGCCTGGGCTACCAAGTGAATCCCAGGAAAGGCGCAAAGCTACACAGAGAAACCCTGTCTCGAAAAACCAAAAAAAAAAAAAAAACAAGAAAAAAAGACTAACGTAAATTTGTCACTATTCATAGATTTTGTGATTGTGTATACAGAAAGCTAAAAGCAATCTATAAATTTAACAAGGTCAATATTAAAATTTTTAGGGATTGGGGATAGAAGCCCTGGGTTTGATTGATCCTCAGCTCTGGAAAACAAAACAAAACAAAAAAACTAATTTTATTTCTTTGCACTAGGAATATAAAAGGCAAATATAACTATTTTCTATGACATTATATTCATCAAGTATAGGATGCTATAGGTATAGTTCAGTGGTAGAGCACTGTGTTTGATCCCACCATTGGGGGAGGTAGCAAACACCAAATATAGAAATAAATCTAATGAAAGATTGCCAAGTCTTCTGAACCAAAGTCAAAACACTGCTAAGGGAAATTAAGGAAGCTCTAAATCAATGGAAAGATGTAACAGGCTTACTGAAAGACTAACTCAACTTTCCCTAAGTGAAGCTGTGGACCAAAATTCTAGGAGAGATTTGTAAAGCTGCAAGGTAACTCTACAGTATAAAGAACCTAGAGCAGCTGGATATGACGGTACATACTAGCTGAGTGTGGACACAGGAAGAACACAAAGCTAAAGGCTACCTGGGCAGACATAAGTGAGCTGGAAGCCACTGTGAGGAGACTTTATCAAAATTAAAAGTTAAACAAGAACCTAGACATGTGTTGGGTATCAGTTTCCTCAAGACCGAAACATTTCCTCCAGCAGGGAAGCTCCCTAAACCAGAAGGTAAATAACTAAAAATAGCTTCAGGAAGTCCCCCAAACTGACTAGATACACTAGGCCCCTGCATCCCAGAGTAAACAATAAAGGGGACTGAGTGTCACTCTCTCAGACAAGCCACGCTGCAAATAAGACTGAGATCAGACCAGCGGCCCAAACATCTCGAACAAGTGAGTCATCTGGAAAGGCCGCCGCCGCCGCCGCCGCCGCCTCATCTGCTGAGCTGCCCGCAGCGCGCTACAGGCTCCACCCCGTGAGCTGTCACCCACCGTGGAATGAACTTTGGCTGTGCTGCTGCTGTCTTTTCTGCTCCTGTAAGTAACCCCTCACCCACATTCCTGCAAGTAACCCCAATGCAACCCACTGGCTCACCAAGCTGGACTTTGGCGGCAGCCATACTTTGGTCTGTTGTGGGATGCTTAGCTGGGGTGAGTATGTGTGCTGTGTCTTCCCCAGGAAAAACAGTCTTGTCACGTTGGTAAGAAAAAAAGGTAATAAAACTGTTGAGTGTAGTGGTTCATGCCTATCATTCCAGCACTCAAGAGGCTGAGACTGGAGGATTTCCTAGTTGGAGACTAGACTGAGCTATATGGCAAGATTCCGCTTGAAAACAAAAATAATAAAATTATGAGATATACTTAACTGTATTATACATTAAGTATTAAATAATTAGGTACCTCCAAAGCATTAACTTGTGTAATAGTAACACAAAAACAGCTATTCCTGATACCTGGGTTAATATAGTTAAAACTCCTTGTATTGACTGGAGTGATTGTAAGTTTGTACCAATCTTTTTTGAATTTTGGATTGCAAATTTCTTTTTTTGACACAGGGTTTCTCTGTGTAGCCCTGGGTGTCCTAGAACTAGCTCTGTAGACAAGGCTGGGCCTCAAAAACTCAAGAGATCCAACTGCCTCTGCCTCCCTGCTAGGATTAAAAGTATGCACAACCACAACTAGCACTGATTTGCCAATTTCATTCACATAACCCTACAGATAAAACTACTGTAGCAAGGGGAACAAGTCTAAGGATTACAAGGGCAAAGTGTAAAACAGTTCTTGTTACCAGGGCTGGGGAATGTAGCTCACTTGGCAGAATGCTTGCCTAGCATGTACAAAAGCCCTGGGTTCCATTCCAAACCCTCATAAACCAAGCACAAGGGAGACATGCCTAGACCTGTGTGCTGCCTGAGGCTCCAGTTATAAACTTGCTCCACCAGCAAACAGGAAAGCAGGTTCTAGAGCAGCAGAGTTGCGCAATGAGTCTCTGTCTCAAAAAAAAAAAAAAAAAAAAAAGGATTAAACAAGCAAACAAAGCAACTAAAACAGAAAAAGAGAAAAGAATGCTGACACTGTACTCCAAGAAAGCTAATAAAATTCTCATTTGGAAACACTACTCCAAGCTACCCTCAAACCTCTACATTAAAAACACTGCACCTTCACCACCGGCATTCAATCCGAACCTTGTTCTCGTTTTTTTCGTTGTTTGGGGCTACATAATCCAACCTGGCCTCGAACTCTCGATCCTCTGCCTCAGCCTCAGGAGCGAGGGCAAATTCGTGTTGTTTTTGAATATGTAATTTATTTTTATTTTATGTTCATTGGTGTTTTAACCTGCCTGCATGTATGTCTGAGAGTGTCAGATGTCCTGGAACTGGAGTTACAGATAACTGGGAGTGTCCATGTGGGTGCTAGGAATTGAACCCCGGTCTTCCGAAAGAGCAGCCAGTGCTTTTTTTTTTTTTAATCCTGGAACTCGCTTTGAAGATGAGGCTGGCCTCGAACTCACGAGATCCGCCTAACCCTGCCTGCCTCCTGAGTACTGGGATTAAAGACGCGCGACACCCACGCGGGGCACAGCCAGGGCTCTTAGCCGCTGAGCCATCTCTCCAGCTCAATGCTTTTTTTTTTTTTTTGAAACTAGATTTCATTATGTGGCACTGGCTGGCCTCGAACTCACAGAGATCCCTCTGCCTCTATAGAGTGCTAGGATTAAAAGCAAGCGCCACCACGCCCAGTTTTTTGTTTTAAATTGGTAAAAAAAAAACCACTGCTTAATGGAAAGAGCCACAGGTGTAACCGGAAGACAGTTATCGAAAGAAGCAGAAAAGAGACCAAAGGCACCGAACTCAGTCACCGCCCAGGGACCAGAGTATCAGGACCCTGGAAGCCGGGGTCACAACTTCCCCCAACACTGTGGGCGTCCTACCTGTCGCATCCCCCTCCTCGGGACCGGAGAAATGCCGCCTTTCTCTGGAAAAGCCGGCCTGAGGCGCTCCACGAAGCTGGACAACTCCTCTCCAGCCCAGCGGCGGGAAGCTCCGCACTAGTTTGCAGGGTAAATAGCCCCGCCGGCCCCGCCCCTCTCCCGGAGGCCTTTGCGGCTGAGCATGCGCAGCGCAGCCCTTCTGATGGGGGGGAGGCCTGTCCGAAGCAGGGGAGGTGGACAGGGCGGGGCAAGAGGTTTCATTCCTAGGCTGTCTTTGAACTAACTTCTAGCTGCCTACAATTTTTATTTATTTATTTATTTTGAGACAGGGTCTTCACTATGTTGCCATGGCTGTCCGGGAACTCACTATGCCGGCAGACCAGGCTGACCTCACACTCACAGAGATCCTCCTGCCTCTGCCGCGGGAGTGCTGGGATTAAAGGCGTATGTGTCACCACACCGGGCATATTTGGGTCCTTGAGTGAGCAAATCAGGAGTTGAGGGCACAGGCCTGTAATTTCAACAGTTGGGGATGGGAGCATGAGGTTCAAAAGTTCAAAGCCAGCCTTGTTTACAAACCCTACCGAACCAATAAAATAATAATAAATAAATAAAATAAAAGCAGGGGATGGGAGCGGGGCAAGGAGATGACAGTCTATTAAGGCGCTCACTACCAAGTCTGACTAGCCAAGTTCACGTCACTGTCACCAGAAACCACTGAATGGAAGAAGAGAACCGACTCCCGCAAATTGTCTTCTGATCTCCACAATAAGCACACAAACACAATAAATAAACAAATACATACATACATGCATGCATAAATAAAAATGTTTTAAATGTAAAGGCTAATGACATTAGTGACTCAGCTTTTGAGTTACAACTTAAAAAACATGGTTGTAAATACAGGTTCAGGAAAAGAGAAACGAGAAAGTAGGGACAGAGGCTATAGCTAAAGAAATAAGGGGCCGGGCGGTGGTGGCGCACGCCTTTAATCCCAGCACTCGGGAGGCAGAGGCAGGTGGATCTCTGTGAGTTCGAGGCCAGCCTGGACTACCAAGTGAGTTCCAGGAAAGGCGCAAAGCTACACAGAGAAACCCTGTCTTGAAAAAACCAAAAAAAAAAAAAAAAAAAAAAAAAAAAGAAATAAGGGGCCGGATGGTGGTGGCACACGCCTTTAATTCCCAGCATTTAGGAGGCAGAGGCAGGCAGATCTCTGGGAGTTCGAGGCCAGCCTGGACTACAGAGTGAGTTCCAGGTCACCCAGGACTGTTATATAGAGAAACCTTTTGTGTGGGGTGGGGAGTGGGGGATGTCTAGTGAGATGGCTTAGCAGAAAGAGGATGATGAAAAGGAAGGAAGTATAATGACCCTGTCTCAAAAAAGTATAGGGGTAGATAATTTTGATTATTCCTAGTCATAATAGTAAAAGAAAAATAAAAAGTTTAATAATTTATTCAATCTTATCTTTGACCATAATTTCTTTCTTTCTATCTTTTGTCTTTTTTCTTTTGGTACAGAGTCTCACTGTGTAGACTAGAACTCACAGAAATCTGCCTGTTCCTGCCTCCTGAGTGCCTGAGACTAAAGTCAAGGGCCACCACAGCCCATCCTTGCTCTACTTTTCCTCCCTTCCTCCCCACCTCTCTCTCTCTCTCTCTCCCTCTCCCTCTTTCTTTCTTTCTTTCTTCCTTTCTTTCTTTCTCTCTTTCTTCTTTTCTCTTCTTTTTTTCCCCCTCCAGACAGGGTTTCCCTGTGTAACCCTGGTGTCCTGGATCTCACTCTGTAGACCAGGCTGGCCTTGAACTCAGAGATCTGTCATCCTCTACCTCCCAAGTGCTGGGATTAGAGTTGGGCCCCACCATGCCCCCCCCCCCCTCTTAAAGGTGGAGATTTCTGTAAATAATCCCAATCAAACTCATTGGTTCAACAAGTTAAACTTTGGTGGTATCTGTACTTTGTAGTAGAATATTTTAAGGTGTGTTACTTTTGTTTATGTTGCATTTGTTTAACTCTGTGAAGCTGTGTTACTGTGCCTGTGTAAAACACCTGATTGTTTAATAAAGAACTGGCCAATAGCAAGGCAGGAGAAAGGATAGGTGGGGCTGGCAAGCAGAGAGAATATATAGGAGAAAACTGGGGGATCTGATTTAAGAATTAGAAGCTAGAGAAGGAGGCTCCAGGGGCCAGCCACCCAGCTACACAGCAAGCCATGGAGTAAGAGTAAGATATCAGAAGTTATGAGAATAGGAAAAGCCTAGAGGCAAAAGGTAGATGGGATAATTTAAGATACTGAAAGCTGCTATAAACTAAGCCAAACTAAGGCATTCATAAGTAATAATAAGTCTCCATGTGTGATTTATTTGGGAGCTGGATGGTGGGCCTCTCAAAAAGAGCAAAACCCCCCAACAACAGTACTTTGGTCTGTGTGGGCTCCCGACGGGTGAGTAGATGTGTGTGCTATGCCTCCCCAGGAAAAGTTTTGTCGCACAACAGCATCATCTCCATGTTCTGTTCTTTTTTTTAGACAGGGTTTATTTCTTACAGTCAAGGTAGCCTCTTAAGAAACAGGGTCTTACTATTGTCCTGTTCTGGTGGGCAACCAATAACAGTGGCAACAACTAGTAGGGAGGTGGCTCACTCCTGGCAAGGCAGTGACCTAGGGCTTCTGGAATTTGCTTTATCCACTTACATAAGCTCCCTCTGTTGGGAGCACAAAGGGTCCTCATGCTCCAGGAATGTTAAAATTGCAGGGTTGTCTTTTCAGGGGAAAAGATACAGAACCTGTTTTTCCACCCAGAAGGCTGGAAATGGGAATAGAGGTGATTAATATCCTGTTTATCTGGTTATTTGAAGGGCCAGGCCATCCCAAGCTCCCACAAGCAGGACCTTTGCATTATCTGTATGGCCAGGTGATCCCCCCCAGGCTCCCTCAACCAGGACCAGAGGTGGCTAATAGCCCAAATGACCTCTGTGCTACCTGTATGACTGAACTGAAACCACACAGATCCATTCCTAGGCCCTTAAGATAATACAAGTAGCCTATCACTAGAATTCATCTTCTTGGAAGAAGTGACATGTACTTTTTGGTTTTGTTTGTTTGTTTGTTTTTGAGGCAAGGTTTCTCTGTGTAGCCCTGGCTGTCCTGGAACTCGCTCTGTAGACCAGGCTGGCCTGAACTTGCAGAGATCCACATGCCTCTGCCTTCCGAGTGCTGAGATTAAAGGCGTGCGCCACCACCGCCCCTCCCATGACAAGTAGTTTGAGTTGAGTTTCTATAGATAAGCCTCCTTGTGCCTAGAAGCCCTGTAAGACCACTGCTTACTGACTTGCTCCCTATGGTGTGTTCAGTCTGCTTTCTGATACAACTCAGGACCATGCAGGTGTGGGGGGTGTTGGCACCAACCCCCTCTGGATTGGGTCCTCCCACATCCATCATATCATCAATCAAGAAAATGTCCTATAGACTTACCTCCAGGCCATCTTGTTGCAGGGATTTTCTCAACTGAGTTTCCATTTTCCAGATAATCCTAGCTTGTGTCAAATTGATTAAAAAAAAGAAAAGAATTAACCAGAACACTTTCTCCCTCCCTCTCTGAAGTGCCACCAAGAGGGACACTGGTCAGCTGACTGCCCCTGTGCACCTTGTGGCATGGGGACATAAAACAAAGATCACCCTCCAGCCGATCTCCTAGGCTTGACCATGGGCAAGGATTGAAGGTACTATCTTTCACAGGGAACTCACTTTGTAGACAATGCTGGCCTTGAACTTGGAGATCTGCCTGCCTCTTCCTCCTCCTCCTGAGTGCTAGGACTAAAGGTGTGCACCACCACCACCCAGCAGCATCATCTTAATTTAGCAATACAAAAGCAGTGGTTTTCTCTCCAGGGTTTATGATCTCCCCAGTCACAGGCTTTTGAGGGGGTTTTCAGGACTAGACAGAAGTTCTTTTTTGTGGAGTAGAAATCAAATCCAATCAGAAAGCACTTGGCTACCCTCATAACAGACTTGCTATCATGGAGGGTTCATCTTCCCTGGCTGGTTGGTTTTGTTTTACATAGGAATTATGTCTTGTAACAGTATTGATGACAATTCCTCCTCTGAAGTCTGCACAGTACTTTCCAGTACCATGAGGCCTAGCCTCATGGGTACCTTCCTCCAGAGAGGAAGCTCCCAGCCCAGCTCCAACTTAATTTCTATTTTTTTTTTTTTTTTTGAGACAGGGTTTCTCTGTGTAGCCCTGGCTGTCCTGGTCTTGAACTCAGAAATCCACCTGCCTCTGCTTCCCAAGTGCTGGGACTAAAATTGTGTGCTATCATGCCCAGCTTCTTTATTTCTTACAGTCTGGACTCTGCAAAAAAATAGACTTTAATATAACAATCTATTACTGTTAAATACCCTTAGCAATTGATCACTTGTGTTTCCTGGATGCTAAACTAATAAAGAAAACAAGTGTCTTGAGGTTTGTCTTAGAGAAGGCTTATCTCAAGTGAAAATTAAAAGCATGTTCCAGGTCTCTCTCTCTCTCTCTCTCTCTCTCTCTCTCTCTCTCTCTCTCTCTCTCTCTCTCTCTCTCTCTCTTCAACACTAACCAATAAAATGCTGATAGCAGAGTACTAAACATTATAATATCATGGCTACCAGCTCAAGATTTTAAGTTCCCTGTGGCTGCTTCTTAATATGTTTAAAAATTCTCCCAAGCTCCAGAGCCAGCTTGAATCCACCTGAACAGCACCTTGTCAGACCCAGTCACAGAGCCCAAAGTGGTGGAAGATTGGAAGATGATGGACGATTCCCAAAGCAGCGGAGGACAATCCACTACTTCAGGATATCTGGTTTCCTCAAAAGCCCCCTTCCCTATCCCCAAGAGTTAACCAGTGCCTACCAAGTAAGCTGGTAGCGATTTTGGGAGACACAGTGCCCCCATTCCTGTTCACCTGACATTTTTTATAAAAACAGAGACTGGAATGTTAGAATTCCTAGCCATTCTCCCATGACTGAGCATGAGTTGGCAAGGATGCTTAGTCATCCCAGGGCCTTACACCCTACATAATCTGCGCACTGCCTGATCATGTAATTTACACGCAGCTTGATCAGATAATCTATGTGCATGTGTGGCATAGCCCATATGTGCATGTGTGGGGAGGGGGGAATCTATAAAAGTGGGTTCCACTTACCCTCCCCTCTCTTCCTGCATGATCTTTTCATAGGCCTAAGCACCCCCTTCTATTTCCTCCCCTTAATAAACTCGTACAGTGGGCTTTGTTGTACCTTGTGGCTTTTCTCGCATGGTAAATGGTGCCACTTAAATAACAGATGGGTCTCAGGTTGTTCAGATATTCACCAGTCTGACCAGTGTTGTGGGAATTCATTCCATTCAACCAATGACCTTTGGGCTATCTGGCCTAAGAGGCATGGCCCTTTCTGGGTATGTGACCAGTTAAAACTGAGGAGGGGACACATTCACTCTCTCTTGGGTAGTGAGGACTGGGTCAGGTGGTGTAGAACAGCTTGCAGTTGGTTCCCATCACCCTTGTGCAGAACAGAGGACAACAGATGGATAAGAGGCGGTGTTTATTCCATTCTGTATTTGTTAGTGTATTACCCCCGTTTTATATCTTAATAAATTCCTAAGATCCTTTAAGAGACTCTTGTGGGTTCGAGTAACAGACCACAAATGAGTTTTTAACAAAGAAGAAGTTTTATTCAGATACTGGTGCCAGGATTCCACCTGAGATTCAGGTTCTCAAGGTGTAGTCCTGAGTCACATTAGTCATTAGTCAGGGGTTTATAAATTCAAAAACCAGGTTACATTCTGGGTTTGTGTTAGCACATATCCTGTCTACATGTAAGCAGGGGCTTAAGCTACAGCAGAGGTCTTGCAGATGCCTTGGCTATCTTAAGCAAGCAAGCAAGCAAGCAAGCAAGCAAGCAAGCAAGCTGTTTACAGAAGCAGAACCAGCAGTTAGCGTTATGACAGTTACCTTGCATGAACAGCAGTTTTGTTAAAATTTTACAGGACTAAGCAATTACAAGAACAGAACCCTTAACACCCTAGGAAGTCATCTGTTCTTGGGCAAGCTGACTGACAGGGTACAGCTTTCACAGGCTAGAGACATTTTTATTTCAGAGATCTCTTAAACATAGTAATTAACTTAAAGCATTGTAACCGACTTGGAACCTTGTTAGCTATCACAGTGGGTGCATGTACGTGTGTGTATATGGAGGCCAGAGTTCAACATCAGGTGTACCTTCCTCTATCACCGACTACCTTGGGTTTTTGCTGTGGGATATCTTTCTGTATGCTGTGAATATGTGTTGTTCCTATTGGTTAACAAATAAAGCTGCATTGGCCTATGGCAGGGAAGAATGGAGCCATGTGGGAAATCCAAGAGGGATAGAGAGAGAAGAAAGATGGGGTCAGAGGAGATGCCAGCCCGCTGCCCAAGGAGCAACAAGATGCCAGCAGACTGGTAATGCCACGGCTATGTGGCAACACATAGATGAATAGAAATGGGTTAATTTAAGATTAAAGAGCTAGCTAGCAAGAAGGCTGAGCCATAGGTCATAAGTTTGTAATTAATACAAGCCTCTGTGTATTTACTTGGGACCAAGCGGCTGTGGAACCGGGTGGGACACAGAGAAACTTCCATCTACAGGTTTTGTTATTGTTGTTTTTTTTTTTTTTTGAGACAGGGTCTCTTACTGAACCTAGAGCTCATCACTTGGCTACACTGATGGACCAATGAACTCTGGAGATCTGCCTGTTTCTGCTCCAGCCCCCAGTACTAGATTTAGAGGCATGTGCCATCACACTTGGCTTTTATGTGGGTGCTTGGGAACTTAGATGCTCATGCTTGTGCTCCAGGGACTTTAATGACTGAGCTACATTCTCCAGCCCCTGAGAATGAATTTTTGTGTAAGAGCAGCAATGGGGAACACGGGGGATAGAGACTCGACTTTGGGTCTTAAGGATGTTGAGTGTCCTGCCCTTGGGTGAACTGCGGGTAAAGTGGTTGTTATTAGGAACAAACACAGTCAGGAGAACTCAGAAGAGCAAGTTAAGATTTGTCTCCATATGATGTCCGAACCTAAGTTCTAGGTTTATCACTTACTAATTTGAAAAGAACCTGAGGGGGCCAGAAAGATAGCTCAGCAGTTAAGAGCACTGGCTGCTCTTCCAAAGGACCACGGTTCAATTCCCAGCACCCACATGACAGCTCACAACTGCTGTAACCAGTTCCAGGGGACCCGACGCCCTCATAGAGTCTATACAGGAAAAGAACCTGACGGATCGACTCAATAGCTCCCCACGTGTGTTCTGATTTGCTTCTAACCAGCACCCTCTGAACACAGACCTCTAAATGATCTACCATCACTAACAACAACAATAACAAAACAAATGTTCTAAACATCCCTCACCCTAATCAAACCTTATCCATTGCCCCAGGCTGCATGATCTGTGGTGATGCTTGCTCTTGGAATTGGCTAACCAGCCTTGAAAGGAGAATGCTCAGCCTGCCTGTGAGAAAAACGAAATAATTAAATGCCTAATTACTCCCTGAGCCAGTAAGGCCAATGTAGCTGAGTGAGAGAGGGCTCTAAGGCCCAGATCAATAAGCTGGAAAGGAAGAGGAGTATGAGGAGAGAGGCCCAGGCAGAGTTCTTCTGACCAGGGAGGAACGCTGGACGCAGGCAGACAGTGGGAAATGATCAGCTTTAGAATGAAAGCCATCTGTTTTAGTCAGTGTTTTGTTGCTGTGAAGAGACACCATGACCAAAAGCAACTCTTATAAAGGAAAACATTTAACTGGGGACTGGCTTACAGTTTCAGAGGCTTAATCTGTTATCATCATGGCAGGGAGTGTGGCAGCAGGCACGGCACTGGAACAGTAGCTGAGAGCTACATCCTGATCCACAAGCAGAGAGAGGGACAGAGAGAGATACAGAGAGAGAGAGAGAGAGAGAGAGAGAGAGAGAGGGAGGGAGGGAGGGAGGGAGGGAGGGAGGGAGGGAGAGAGAGAGAGAGAGAGAGATTGGGCTTGGCATGGGCTTTTGAAACCTCAAAGCCACCCTCAATGACATACTTCCTCCAAGGCCATAACTCCTAATCCTTCTCTAATCCTTGAAAATAGTGCCATTCACTGGTGACTAAGCATTCAAATATATGAGCCTATGGAGGCCATTCTTACTCAAACCAAGAGGAGGCTAGAGGAGGTAGGTCTGGATGCTTTCCTACCCTCTCCAGGGCCCTTCCCTTTCCATGAGATATGTTCCAGGAGTAGATAGGCATAATGCATAAGACTCAGAAGGTTCCTGAAATCTGAACTTTCATCAGGTAAAGAATCAGCCCTCGCCATGACAGGCCTGTTTTCTGATGTGGTGCTGAATGGCAAAGACTTCATTTCTCCACTATGGCCTCCCTGATTTCTTCAAAAACACTGAATCTGGGATTGATGGCACATATTGTGAGTTGGTTAGTTTTTTTTTTTTTTTTTTTTTTTGGTTTTTCGAGACAGGGTTTCTCTGTGTAGCTTTGTGCCTTTTCCTGGAACTCACTTGGTAACCCAGGCTGGCCTCGAACTCACAGAGATCCACCTGGCTCCGCCTCCCAAGTGCTGGGATTAAAGGCGTGCGCCACCACCGCCCGGCTGTGAGTTGGTTAGTTTTATGTCAATTTGACATAAGTTAAAGTCATCTGAAAGGAGGGAGACTCAATTAAGAAAATGTCTCCATAAGATTGGGTTATAGCCGGGCAGTGGTGGCGCACGCCTTTAATCCCAGCACTCGGGAGGCAGAGCCAGGCGGATCTCTGTGAGTTCGAGGCCAGCCTGGGCTACCAAGTGAGTTCCAGGAAAGGTGCAAAGCTACACAGAGAAACCCAGTCTCGAAAAAAAAGATTGGTTATAGGCAATCCTGCAGGACATTTTCTTAATTAGTGATCAATGGGGAAGGGCCCAGTCCACTATGGATGGTGCCATCCCTGAGATGGTGGTCCTGGGTTCTACAAGCCAGCAGACTGAGCAAGCCATGGGTAGCAAGTCAGTAAGTGGCACTCCTCCATGGCCTCTGCATCAGCTTCCACCTCAGGTTCCTTCCCGGCTTGAGTTCCTGTCCTGGCTCCAGGTTCCTGTCCTGGTTGAGTTCCTGTCTTGATTTCCTTCAACGATGAACCAATAAACCCTTTCCTCCCCACGTTGCTTTGTTCATGGTGTCTTATCGCAGCAATAGAAAAGTAACCAGGACACAGAGTGTCTTGATCATGGTGGTGGAGAGCATAGTAGCAGGCAGACAGGCATGGCTCTGGAGCTAGTGTGAGGTATCCTCCAGAGAAGACTACTCCGACATGGGTTTAAAGAACAGAAAGGCTTTATTAGCCTGTTATGGAATAATCCTTTTTTTTTTTTAAAGACAGCGTTTCTTTGTGTAACAGCCCTGGCTGTCCTGCAACTCACTTTGTAGACCAGGCTAGTCTCGAACTCACAGAGATCCATCTGCCTCTGCCTCCTGAGTGATGGGATTAAAGGCATGCACTGCCATTGCCTGGCTTGGAATAATTTTTTTGTACACTGTGAA